ATAAGTTGCAACAATTTTGGTAACTCGTGTGGCCGATCCTAATACTATAAGAACGAGACAGAGTTGGACGGTGTTCGAATGTCAAGTTATAAATTTAAGGGACGGTTTTTCCAACCTCTTGGAGAGCTAACTGTTAGTTAAATTATATGTCTGTCTTTATCTAATTTGAAGGAAAAACAAAGACATATGATTTAACTATTAGTTAACTTACCAAGAGGTGAGAACAATCAGCCCTAAGCAGATTAATTTCTCAGGGACGATAACATCGGAGGCGAATCCGGTATGTTATTCTGATAGGTAATTCTAAAAATGCATCATAAATATTTCTCGTTACAGTAGCATTTACCGTTTTGTTACACGTGTTTGCGAGACGGCAATTAATTGTAATAACGTTCGGGGCATTTGTGTGCAATCGGCGAACACATCAACGCATTGTCGGCGAACTTACAATAACAGCAATGCCGGCAGTAAAAAAAAAACCCCAGAGCCACGTAACCGTAACGATACCTCATCTCCTCCTGGAACGGCACGTGTCTACAAAGCGATTTTGACCCTACGCAAAACTTGCTCCGTTGGACGTGGTATTTCTATAGGGCTACTTATGTACCTACGATGCACGTGCCCGAATCGTATGCGGGGCGATGTGGGCCGGTGAATACTTCCAATTTAAATTTCAAAATGGATTGTTATCAAAAACTGTATCAAAAAGTTCGGTGTGCCGTCCGATTAATGCCCTTCCGGCCCTTTTTACGCTTCCTATATAATCGTTCAAACAGAGCAATACACTTGTCGAACTCAAAGAATGCGAAATTTAATACCGCTTGACTTTATAAATTTGTAGATCTTTTTAATCTCTACATTATTTTTATAACTTGTTTCATAATTTAAATGAATGTATCTTTATGTGCACGCTCATTCGGTGTCTTTAAATGGTTAGTTTAAAGTTCTTTCGGCGATAAATGTACATTTGTGTGTAGAATCTATCGTAACTCGATCCAATTTCGATCCCGCGTCAGCTCGGTTCCTTCCAATCGAATAGACGTGATTATTCTTATCGATGGGATTATGCAAAGGAGCTAACGCGAACGGCGAAGCGTGCCTCTCCCTCGATAAAACGGCTTGATGAATCGAGTTAGTCGCGCGTGAATCATTGAGCGATCACTTTTAAGCCTCGGGTTTCGAGCAGTTAAATGGAGGACTCGGGGAAAGAAATGCGTAACGCGGAAACAATTGCATTTTCCGCGACGCATTCGAAATTAACTTTGTTACGTGTGAACGTAAAGAACTATTTGACCCAACCTCGTTGGGATGTTCTTTCTCTTGATTCAACAATAACAAACGCAGATGCTCTTTTTTACCCCGAACAATAGGAGGGCTGCGTAAATACAGCCTCCGGTAACACGGGCTCACCCTTTTCGACCAGCATTTTGTGCGCAGCTACCAACGCACGCTTTTGACTTCAGTCTGCATGGTCAAAATCAGATTTTAAATGTCCAGTGTCAGCGAGTTTAAAATTCGGTTAATATTAGCACGTTTGATTATGATATTTTACACCAATGAAGTAATTACATGTCAAAGGTGTCGATCAAATTAGAGTTTTTCCCTTAGTTGCAATTTCATAGAAACTTTAGTTTTAAATCTTGTGAGTTATTTGGTGTACTTAAAAAATTTGAGATGCAATCCTGTAAAGTGTAAATTATTTCATTATAATGTAATGAAATGTACTTAAAAAAAGTATATTACACGTTTTTCATTATATTTTAATATCAAATTCTATCAAGATGTGTAAAGTATTTTCTTCTTTAAAATGTATTTTATATATAAAGTCTGTTTTCTACAATCGAGAACAGCGTATACCATCCAGTCATATGTTATTAATTTCAAACAAATTAATACTCTCGAGTAGTTTACGAAAAAACATTGTTCCACAAAATTTTTATTTCGCACGCTGTCTCAATATTTGAGCGCTTCGGCGCAATGCCTGGAGAAACTTGTCAGTGCAAAGGTCGTAAGTGCATGTACCTGCGCGTCTGACTTAATGTTCGGGACAGACGAGCGTCCTTTTATGGCAACGAGTCCTTTCACGAACTGCATTCTTGACGGGCTTTCCATCGCGTTCACCGCGTACAACCTGATGCTTCCAAAAATAAGATCGATACAGATATTCGATTCACATACAATGAACTTGAAATATCAACACAGAATAGAGATAGAGATGAAAGATACAGGCTTCATATATACACTGATAAATACGTAGATAGGATAAGCTTATCCCTCCGATTGGAACGAAAGGTATAGACTAGCATATCTATCATCTAAGAAAAATCGTTTTCGAAAGGTAAGCTGGAGAAAAAATTATTAAAATACTCAGGCGAAATGAATAATTATTAAATAAATAACATTGGCTTATATGATAAAACTCGAACGATAAAAGGGACTCGAAACCAAGACAGGGTTGTGGTGTTAACAAAACTTTTATAATTAAATTAGACAATATAGCCGTTTTGGTCCTAACTGGACCATCTTCGGTATATAAAAAAGATATAAATTAACGCATAAAAGGTAACGGTATATAAATAATTACACAGTCCGTGAGATAAAATTTAAAAAGCTACTGAAACGATTGTACTAATTATTTTTAAAAAATTTTAGAAATTTATTTTAATAAGAAATGTCTTCTTCTTTAAACTTTTATTCGTTTAAGGACGACGTGGTTCGTTAAAAACTGCTAACTTCTGTTAATATTGAAAGAGATTTAATTTAGGATGCATTAAGAGACATCTCGCATTGCAAATTGAGAAAGTTTCTATTTACAGCTCTGCTATATTTCGCATATTTGCTAGATTGTATTTTATATAAAGGTTGTCTGAATTATAAATGTGTAGGAAAACCGCGCGTGATCTTGAACATCGGTCTGTATATTATCGTGAATATCATGCCTCGTCGAGATACCTCTGATAATTGCGAGACAAGAAAGTATAAACACTCGATCCGATAATATTGAACTGTAACGTTTCGAAATAACGAACGATCCGGACAGAGAGTTGATAGCGAGTAAGCATCAGGCTGCGAATTTGCTTGGCCACCGGGATCCGTATCGGACTAAATACATATGTAAACTTGTATTATTACAATGCGTCATTAAATGAAACCAGATGTACACGGAGAGTAACGTTTTGCATTGTAATGAGATACTATTCATTTGTAATGTCGGAGTAAAATGCTTTAGTCGCGCCGATTGAAGCGACTCCACGTTAAGGCCTGTGTCCACGATGCTAGAACTTGGTACTAGTTTGAAGAAATGTGCGGCCAGTCAACTTGCAGCTATTCCATAAAAGCTGCAAGTTGATCGGCTACGCATTTCTCGGAACTTGGATCAAGCTCCATAGCATCGTGAACACAGGCCTTTAAAGAGCGACGGGAGAAAAGGGGGACGGGAATAGAACGTGTCACGCACAAAATGGAATTTCATAATGCAACTGAAGCATCGCTAATCTACCAGAACTGTAACGGATCGTGGCAAAAGAAAAAAGTTACGTCTGCGCTCGCTCGGAAAAGCAGTTATAATTCAGCTTCATTAACATATACATTATTTGAGGTGTACTTGTCCGCGCGCGCACTTGCCCCGTTTAATTCCCGGTTAATTATTCCCGTCTTGCTCCGGTAAAATTGGTTATCAAAGCAGGACCGTTAATGGAAACGGAATAGGAATGAATCTCGCAATGAATGAATTATTCGATCGATTTATTATTGGCGTGCGAAATTTTCTTTTAGTATCTCGCTCAAAAACGTCAACCTCTGTCTCCTTCTGCCCTCATCACGGTCATTATTAAATTAATATTCTTTTTTCCAACTTTCTCCCCCTCTAAATATTTCCCTCTTTTATCCGCTACGTTTAATCAATTACATAGACAACTTCCTTTCCCATGGAATTCCTCCCCGAAATACACGAGCGCGTCTCCCTTTCGCTTAAACGCACCGCGTTCAGAACGAATTATCACCGCCGCGAGAGCTCGATTTTCCGCACGGTCTTCATGGAAGTGCAGGCAATTACATTTAATAGAAGCACCCGCGCTAATGATCGTAGCGACGCGTTAATTCCGTGGCGACGTCGTCCGCGCCGGAACTCTGCCGAAGATCGCCTATGACATCATCGTTCGCGATGGAGCGAGCGGACAAGAGAAAAGCTCAAAGAGATACGGGAAGACGAGAGAGAGAGAGAGTATGTGTGTGTGTGTGTGTATGACACCGCGTTGTTCAAGGCGCTTCAATTGAACTCGCTTGAGAGCGAGAGGACGGACAGATCTCGTCGGACAGCTTCCTCGTAAAACGCATCTATCGCGCGCTGCACCTCGGGGACGGGATCGCCGTTTAAGTGATCGTTACTTTTCTCGGCGAACACAACGGCGGGACAGACGTTGATCTCGAAATAGACGCGACAGATGGACGAGAGATGGGGAGGGGGGAGAGGCGGGATGTGGTGCTAGGATTTTATGAATTTAAATTGGCCAAAGGGCGCACTGTGTGTGTGCTGCGGACTGCTGCCGCTGCCGCTGCCATTGCGTGCCCAATTGGCGAGCGCGTGGAAACCACCGGCTCGTTGACTTTTCGAATGAAACCAATTGCTCCTGCGGCACCGATACGACGACGTGCCATCTGCCCGCAATACGGTATCGCACATCCGCCGCTGCCGCCGTCGAAAGTGTCGAGTCAGAGACACACGCGCGTCCACGGGCGAAATTCGTTCGCCGCGGGCGCCGAAGCAGAGACGTTCCCGCGCGAATCGATCTCTCGGCGAAGCTGTCGCGCGCGGTTTTGCACAGACGAGGCACCGGCAACATTAACAAAGAGCGTATCGATTTATCGGCAATTAATAATGAGAGACTGGTGTCGCGTTTTACTCCGCTCGACGCTCGTCCCTTCCGCCAATCTTCCCCCCATTGTTGCGTTCCGTTAGTACTTTTGTCCGCTCACTGTTTTCTTTTTGCGTTCTTTTGCAGCAGAAATGCGTGAAAGCGCGAGCTCTGTACGACAATATCGCCGAGGCGCCGGACGAGCTGGCTTTTCGAAAAGGCGACGTCCTCACCGTACTGGAGCAGAACACCGCTGGTCTTGAGGGATGGTGGTTGTGCGCTCTGCGAGGCCGACAGGTAGTTATTTTAAAAGACGTTCGAATTTGTGTCTGCGGATTTTTCTCAAGTAAAACTCTCGGGAGGGCTCGGGACCCTTTTGCAAAATTACATCGTACAGCGTGGGAAATTCCTATACACTGCAGGGTGTTCGCAAAAGGACACCCCTGAATAACTCCGAAAATACGCGAGATAGAAAAAAAAGTTTCAGACAAGAGTTGCAGTATTTCAAACGACGCGTTACGCAGTAATACCAGCATGACCTGGAAGAGCTCTGTCACGTGAAGATCACCTTGATACTTTTTAATACAAACTCTCATTTTTTCATTGCACATTCTTGTAGCTTGCGTCGAAAGCTTTTCAAAGCACTGTAAATATTTAATTATATTAAGAATGTTAAAAAAACGCAGCCGATTATCACGGTCGGATTTACACCTCCTTTGTATTTTAGGCACGTGTAAATACAAAAGAAGTATCGAAATTCTAGATCCGATTACGATCCAATTACATCATCCGCTAATCGAAAACGGGTATTAGGCGAACGTGTAATATACATGGAACCTCCGCGCGTTTCGGGATTTCGCTCGCGTCTCCATTAGCCGCGTCTCTCCTCGTTCTATTACGTTCTAATGGAGTTTATCCGTCGTATTAACGAAGAACACGCGTCGGATACTTCCACATATGTCCTTCGTATTATCTGTGCGCGTCTCTGTAATGCATAAGGCATAAGACCGGATCCAGAACGAAGCTGTCTGCCTCTCTTTCTCCTCCTCTCCCGAGAGAGGCGTAACTTATCGCGAAAATAGGACGCTCGGCCGCGACGATCTAGCATCGCGATCTCCGCCGTCGGGCCGATGCCAGACGTGACTGCGCACAAACGTGATTACCGGTTATTAAGAATCGCCAATGCGCACGGCTAGAAAGGTAGAAACGAGGGAACGAGAGACAGAAGAAATTTCTCCGAAATCACACGTAATGGAATTAACGAGGTCCCCGTCGATTCAATGCAGGCGTGCGTAACCCGCTAGAGAATTTTGTCATTAACCCAAAATACCCAATCGTGTTAAGTAACAAAGGCCCAATATTACTTCTGTCTGTGCCAATTAGATTCAATAATTGCTCCATTCCGCTTTCATTTCACAATTTCCTGTCTCGCCTGTGTGACTTCTCGGCTTGTTGAAAGTCATCAAGGTGCAGAATATATTTTTGTAAATATTACAATTTTAACATAGGTCCTTTAAGATATAAAATCAATTAGAAATTAAAGAGGCCGTTTAGGACCGGGCATAGGTGTAAGTAGCCAGTTAAATTAAATTTCTATATAATAAAATAAATATGAATTCACCTAAATAATTTAATTTAACTGGCTACTTACACCTATGCCCGGTCCTAAACGGCCTCTTTAATTTCTAATTGATTTTATATTTTTGTAATTTTTAAAAAATGAATTTCTCACTCTTATCGTACCGCACGGAGAGACCGATGTGGTTACCACGTGTCTAATTAGGGTTTGCCCAACAAAATAGTAATATTTGGGACAGCTATGCCTGTGGTTGTCCAATGCCCACATTGGTATGATAAGTAGTGGAGGCAACTATTATGCGTTTTGTGCAGCAAGCTCAGTGAATGTTGCAACACAAAACAATGTAGATGCCCCCACTGTTTGTACGGCAACATTTTAATTTTAGTTACTTTTGTCTCGGCCGGTCTTTCCGCGCACGTGTCCGTTTATCCGGAATAATATGCACTCCGTTGTGCAAAGTATCTTTCATGTTATTATCCCGAGCTCTTAATATTTCGTTCCCTTAATTCTCCACCTCATTTCCCTCCTCGCGATGCTCATTCAAAAAGCGAATTTACCTTTAGCGGCAACAAACCTGTCGTCGGCTTCTACGTACAAGTACCTCGCGTGCACGAGACTGCAGCTTATGCACATCTGTATAATGCATAAGAGCCGATGCACCAGAGCGACCCCGGAGGTTTCTCTAGGTATGACGAGGCAACGTTATTATCGCGGAAATGGGACTAACGATCGTGCATTGCAATTACCTTCGATGTAGCAGCAGTCTCAGATGTCTGCGATACCGGCCGTCATAAATAGTTTTGCGTTACTAACTGGATACTCTGGAAAATAGAAAGACACGCGTAAAAGCGGCAATCCGCATGGAAAAGCAATGTAGCTGCCGTAGCTAAAAGCTGCACGTGGCAAACTAAACTTCAGTTGTAAAATATGGACAGCTAAATATTTTGCTACTGTGCCTTATTGTACTAGGTGCGTCAGCAATCCGTTTGCTGTGCTCCAGAAATTTATAGTTGGGGCGGCAAAATATTTTTAGCAAGTCATGATTAGCTACGGTAGCGAGCATTGTTTCTTCAGTGCGCGATAAGGAAAAGACTCGCAACTGTCTTTAAAGTAAAAAAAAACGGCGGACTGACTATCAAACGCTTTGCAATCGTTAATTCAATTTGAAGCTGGCTAATTGATTCATTCGCGGTGAATGTTTTGAAAATTACGCGAGGTTATCTTCGACGTGGCGTAGCTCCTCGCTGCGCTCGTCGATCTTGCCGAGCCACTTTTCCTGAAATAAATTTTGTTTGCCAAAAACACTCGGCTTGTCGTCGCCTATCACCGACAAACGATCCGTTTCGATATGTGTGTGCGGCGGTAATTGAGAGTAAAGGCAATGTGACGTGGGTAGAGGATGATTGGATGATACGGTCCCCTGGTCTTTATTGGAAACCGGCAACTTGTGACGTCGTCGGGATCGACTACTGCTAGAGGTATCGGTGGAATCAGCGGTTTGCGGGTCTACGGATATTTCCGCGACGTATCGGTGGATTCGAGTTGCCGAGCCCTTATCCTTTTTTAGCGAGAAATTCGCCACTCAATCGTGAAAGCTTAAACTCAGAATTAAACTTGATTCTATCAATATCATTTCAGTATCAACGCGTCTGCATTGATTGCATTTGATGGAAATGTCGCGAAGACCAATAATGCTCAATTGTGAAGAGATCGAGAGAAATTCGCTTTGCGGTATTACGAATTACGGCGGAATAAAAAAAATAGATAATGTATTAGACTCGCAGAGACTCGTTCCATACCTCTCGCAAATTTCCTCGCGTCCCCCCCTCCCCCCGCTGAAAACTTTATCGGAAATCTGAGGTCTCGACGAGCATTACTAAACCCGAGGATCTTAACGTGTTGGCAACGTTCAAGTGCCATTCCGCCGAAAACCCGTGCCCCAAGATATTTACGAGTTACAACTTCGTAGCACACGAGATAAACGAATGAGTTACGCGGCATGCATCACTCGGTGGCAACGCTCGTTCCTCAGGGCACGACGCAACGGAGGGTGTAACGTTTATTTTCGTCTCGATCTCACGAAATTACACAAACCCGCGACGCATTCACGGACGCCTAATTGCGGGCCTTCTCTCGCTCCGAGAGTCCTTCGCGGCGCGAGTGGAAAGCTACCGCGCCTTCTTAAAGAAGAAGAGTAGGCGGTTCTCGAAAAAATACAGCGACAAATAAATAAAGATAGGATAAAAAAGTAATAAAAATTCGATTTCATTGGACGTTTGGAAAGTTTATGATTAAAGGACTTCTAATTTTTAATTTAATTAAGAAATTTATTCAGTGAGAAATAAAAAGAATATAAATATGTTGAGTATATAATTGGACAGAGCTACCAGAAATAACAATTATCGATGTATTTGTATCAAGGGATTCTTAACTATGTACTGGCAGGACATGCGCGATTAAAAATTCATTCGTGCGAAGCGTCGGAGTCGAGCTGTTGTTACGTTATTGTGTTTTTTTTTTCTGCCCTAGGGCATCTGTCCAGGAAATCGATTGAGGCTTCTGGTTGGCCAATACGATACGGGGGGTTGTTTGGTCGGCAGCAGGGCCGACCTAACCATAGCAGAGGATGGCATACAGAGACACGGGAAAAGGCGTAGCTGGCACGTACAGCCCAACAGGGTGAGTTATTTGAAACTGTTCTCAAATCGTACATATATTTTGAACGTATACATATATGTATGTACAGACTTATACGTAGACGTTTCACTATTCTATTTCGCATGTCTATTTCTATTTTTAAAGCGCTGGTGGATGTAGATCTATAGCTGCCTGCGATACTTTGTATTACTGAGTTAGTCTTTGTCTGCGAAAAGATATTTATTATTGTTCGATCTTACAATTAGAGTAAGCTAGAACTTGAGGTAAATTAAAACTATATCAAAAGCAATCTTGTAATACACATAAAAGATGTACGAATAATTGCAATACTGATTTAATTAATTATCAGAGATACGAGGAAGAGTTAAAGATATGTTTTATATATACCGTAAATACTGAAAAACGTAATGCACATCCATTAAACGTGTCTTCAAAAAATCGTTAACATCTGTATACGATAATTAACATTATATTGAAACGTGAGTTTTTCTAGGCCCGCAATGAGAACTTTAAAGCGCGAACATATGATTACGACGACCATTTTTCCGTGCCCCGTATTCGAATGACACTACATTAGCCCGACAGCAGGCTTCTCGAATTAATACAGCCGCGATCTGAAAAAGCGACGGCGACTTCCTACCGATCGAACATTTCTAAGTGCAACCATGGACAGGGTATCTCAAACGCGAGATGTCTGATCGGCCCATAAACTTATCCGTGCCTTTTCAAAAATTTTCAAAAATATAACTAAATTAAAATAAAATCATATGTATTAAAAATTTTACGGTATTATTACAACTAATGTTAGAAAAACGAAGATACGACTGCAAAAAGATAGTCAACGTCATTGATTCAGTGAGGACGAGCCTCAAGCCGAACCTGTACCGCAACTCACTCCTCCCTTAAATCTAAGTAAAGTAACTGAAATGTAATTGCAGTCTTTCTTTCTCTCTCTTTTGGTGTTGTTCGTTTTGGTGGCACATGTTCCCACCCCATATTTAACCCACTATGTCAACCCAATTACGGTGTTGAACGTAATGAGTAAATATGTCGGTCAAAGAGACCTTTTAATTGACTAATTTTTGAACGATGTTATAATTAGAATATCCCAGATTATTTTAATACTATGTTACATTGGAGAAATGCTGGAATTAGTTGCGCATACAGGTTACAAGCTTCCTGACCAATATCAGACTGTGTGGCGTAAGCATCTCAACTGAGATCGGAAATAACAATCAACGCGTTCTTATGAAGAAACTGCAATGGGTACAAGCGCTATCGCGCTTGAAAGTCAATGCTAATAATCTGATTAATACAGTTAATACAGACTAATACAGATTAATACAGACTAATACAGTTTTCTGTTTTTGGCATCAGTTAAAACTGGAAAGTAAACGTTTTAGATTTAATACAAGATCCTAAATACATGTCCCAAATCAACCATGCATGGATCAAGTATATACATATATATGTGTGCAGTGGCACTATACCCTCGGTGATCATCATCTCCGAAAAATCCAGCGGTGTCGGTGGTTGGATTTGAACTTGGATCGTTTTCTTCATTTGCTTACTGAGCAGCGCACATTTCTGTGCGCCACGCTCGCCACACATCATGTTTATATATAAATCTCACATTTATTTATACCGAATCCGTTGTTCTTTAAAAAGCACGCCTTTGACGTCATTGCCCCTCTAAGATAGAAAGTACCCGTACTCTTATGATCACTTTGTTATTATCGCACACAAGTGTGCGACTTTGGTTAATTCCTTCGTGGAGAAAAATGGAAATTTACTAACTTTAGATAGATAAATAGGCTCTTCTCTCATATATATTGTGGAAATCATTCTGTAACTTTTATCACGATTTTATTCGTGTCTGTTGCTCTATATAAATTTGCAATATTGATATGCCATTATGGCCCTAGAAAAGTGTATGTAGCTAACGAAAACATGCGAAAAGGAAAATTTGAATCTTTTTAGGGAATAAAATATACTGCATTTTTGTATAATATATATTTTGTATAATTTTATGATATTAATGTCTAATTATATTTTAATGTCAAGTATTAAATATTAATTTTGCATACTTTGGTGGACAACTATAAATCAGATAACTCTATTAAAATATCAAGGAAATCAGTTGTGTGCGCAGCACTTTGTCTCTGACAGTAAATTAATTAGATTAGATATTGTAAATACACTGCGTACGCGCAGAAAGTGACAACTGCAAAACTGCTGATTACGAAAGACACTTTATGCTGTCATGTCTGTGATTGTTTTATTATTTTTTGAATAACGAAATTAAATACTAAAAATTAATTAGTAATTGAACATTGACCAGACTTGTTAAACATTATACATTTTTGTCTCTCAATCCTCCTATGCGATAAAATTAGAAATAAAACACTTTCGATGTTTTAACAGAATGTCAAATATACACATTCAGAAATTATTGATGACTATAAACACACACACACATAGCTGATAGTTTGATTATTGAAAAGATAATCTTGTTTCGAACAATGCGTGTAAGTTCCGTCGAGCGACAAAATTGAAACGAAACGCTTGTTCATTGAGAAATATCGATATCTAAATTATCCCTCTCGTATAGCTGTTTGTTATACAAGCTCCCCTGCATTCTTCACGCGGTGTGTACTGCGCTTTGATTTTTCGCGAATGCAACAGTCAATTCTTTATCAGCACGCCGGAGAGCTAACAAAACCGCAAATATTCGTGTTACCCTCCTGATTTTTCTGTCCGAGCAATTATATCGCTTCGCTGGTTTCGAGGATTGGGATTGGGAGACTCTGTGCCGCGCGGAATTGACAATGACGCTCAGGCGACAGTTCATTGTGCTGCGTTCGTGGGGGCCGACCTTTTACGCCCCCCACATTCGCTGAAACGGGATCTGTCAAAATCAGCTGACTGCCACTTGGTTCGTTCGGCTCCTCGCCGCAGCCATCGCTGCGTATCTGGCTCTGTCGCGGTTTAACATCTGCCACTGACATCGATTCGATTAAATGAATACGAGCACGGTCGATTAGGGCGTTGAGTTTGTCCACTGTACATATAGTGTCGGAGCGAAAGTAATTGCCTTTGTATAAAAAAATTTCGCTTCTCCGTTATTGATATAATACAAACGTGTATCAAGAAATTCCTGAAAATCCATTTCAGTACGTTATAGTAATTTTGTCAATTCTATTAAACAATCGCGCCAGAAAATGCGAGCGATTCCAGGGATTTGTTAAAAATCGAGAATTTGAAAAAGCATTTTATCTCTCAGTCTTTCAATTTATTTTTTAATTGTGACAAATTATTTCAGTCATTCCACTTGTATTATTCTGTATAATGGCCTATGTACCCGTGCAAAATTTTAGTTCTCTTCGATTTAATATGTTTCTTTAATCTAATTTCGATTTAACTTCAAGTTATATTTATTTTTAAATCCTTAGCTACGCAGCTTCACTTTAAATTGATATATTTATAGTTGCGGAATTATTCAGTCGAATTATCTTAATACGTTTGTCTCTGCTTGCCTCGAGACTTGGTCTGGTCTTTCGCAGACAATGTATTTCGGGGTACTAGAGCGCGTCGAAGACGGTCGGCTCCTTGTCGGTGCTGGCAGTTTCTCGAGCTCTTCTTGTTTTCTGGCTGGTCCGCGAGGACTTTTTGCGCCGCGCGATCTTCACGGATGAACATCCGGACACATCTCTGTCGTCGTGGTTTTCTCGTCGCGGTGCAGGCATGTGTGTTTCCACGATAGAAATACGACGCTGTCGCCATCGTCGTCGCAGGGTCAACGTAACGCGAATGTGCTTTCCTCGGCCACGTCACATGGTTGCACTGAAACGCGAATTATTTGCAGGTGACGCGAAAGGTTCGGTTGTCCATGATTCGACTCACTCCAGCATTCCTTTGCGTTTTATTCCTTCTCTTTCCCTATTGCAATTGTGATTTAGAATTGTAATTGTGAAGTTAATGCACAAATCTGCTCGATGTAAAATCTCACGCAAGTAGCGTGCAATTAATCGTATCGTGTCGCAGCAAACTTGAGCTAACAGCTTGTCGAACACGAACGTTTGTCACATCTGCAATTCAAGCGAACGTATCGATAATCGCAAAAGGAATTGCATTCGTATATTTACGATCGGATAACCCCAGAAGGGTGAATTTCCCGGTTCGAAAACAACCGGAGGGGTCTTGGCGAGAGGACGTTGCCGCCCTCCGCGAGTCCACCCCAATCTCCACCCTCCCATCCGTTCCAACAGCGGCATACCGTCGCGTCGCGTCCCAAAGCGATTTACAAGAAGCGCAATCTGCTGAAGATGTCCCGCGGAGGGGGGGGGGGGGCTACCTTTTCTGACGCGAAGGTCCGCGGCTGCCCTTATATGACCGCCGATTCCGGACAATGTCCACTTTCTGACGTCGCCGCACGCTCCTCTCTGTTTCTCTCCTCCTCCGCCGTCTGCCCGATCGCGAATGTGTATGGGAAGACACCCGCGCGCGCGCGCAGTGGGGTCCCATGCAGTCATCCCGGTGGAATGTCTTGGGCGGTTAGGCTCAAAGAAGAGCGGACGCGTTTCATCCCGCGCGCACTGTATACATCCACGTAGCTCTCTTCCTCGGCTCGCGTACCCTCGCACTCCTCTTCCGTCTTTCGTCGACTACTCCCGACTTCCGAGAATAGCTCGTGGTGCACGTTTTTACGTGTTAGAAATCTGCGAGACCGGGCGCTCCTCTCCTGACCGCGGCTCCGAGTCGTTACACGAGGCAACTAGCTATAAATCAGTGGCAAAAAAAATTGAGCTAAAGGACGGAGAGATAAGGACACCAGAGATAAGAAATGGGGAGACGGAGTACGATACACGTATATATATCACATGTTAATTCTGTCCTCCTTTCGGATATGTCTTTTATTTTCAAATATACAGTTCTGAATGTACAATTCTTGTAACTCGAGATGTGTGAGTCTTTTAATAAATTTTAAATTATTAAAAGATTCACGTTATTATTACACATAC